GTTGCGAATTTCCAGCTAAACCTGAATTCGCGTACTAGACGTGCGCTACAAAGTCAGGATTTTCCAGCTAGATCTGAAAAGCTGTACTTCGCGTACTACATTTGCACTACAAAATTGAGATTTCCCAGCTGGAGCTGGAAACCTGTACTTCCCGTACTAGACGAGCACTACAAAGTCGCGATTTTCGAGCTAGATAACTGTACTTCGCGTACTACGTTTGCACAAAGTTGCGATGTTCCAGCTGGAGCTGGCAACCTGTACTTCGCGTACTAGACTTGTACTACAAAGTCACGATTTTCCAGCTAGATGTACTTCGCGTGCTACATTTGCACTACAAAGTTGCGTTTCCAGCTGGAGCTGGAAACCTGTACTTCGCGCACTAGACTTGTACTTGAAAGTTGCGAATTTCCAGCTAAACCTGAATTCGCGTACTAGACGTGCGCTACAAAGTCAGGATTTTCCAGCTAGATCTGAAAAGCTGTACTTCGCGTACTACATTTGCACTACAAAATTGAGATTTCCCAGCTGGAGCTGGAAACCTGTACTTCCCGTACTAGACGATCACTACAAAGTGGCGATTTTCGAGCTAGATAACTGTACTTCGCGTACTACGTTTGCACAAAGTTGCGATTCTCCAGCTGGAGCTGGAAACCAGTGTAGGCATTCGAGTGCTAGACTTGTACTACAAAGTCGCGATTTTCCAGCTAGATCTGGAAAACTGTACTTCACGTAGTACATTTGCACTACAAAGTTGCGAATTTCCAGCTGGAGCTGGCAACCTGTACTTCGCGCACTAGACTTGTACTACAAAGTCACGATTTTCCAGCTAGATGTACTTCGCGTGCTACATTTGCACTACAAAGTTGCGTTTCCAGCTGGAGCTGGAAACCTGTACTTCGCGTACCAGACTTGTACTACAGACAGAGTTGCGACTGAGAGACACTTTTGAGTGACACTCCTGAGCGACGCCTATGAGCAATGAGCGATACCACTGAGCGACACTTTTGATCACACCTCTGAGCGACACTCTTCTGAGCAGCACTTCTGATCGACACCTCTGGGCGACACTTCTGAGCAACACTTTTGACTGACACTTCTGAGCGACACTTCTGAGCACACACACACACACACGCACACATGTAAGCGACGCTTTTGAGCGACACTCCTACTCCTGAGCAAGAATCCAAGCGACATTTCTACACACATATCTGAGAGAAACCTTTTGCGCGACACTCGCCAGCGACACTTCTTAGCGACACCTCTGGACAACACTTCTGAGCAACACTGAGCGGCACTCCTGGGCGACACTTGTGAAAACAGCTCTGAGCGACACTTCTGAGCCACATTTCCACACGCGCATCAGCGACACTTTGACCGGCACTCCTGAGCGACGATTCGGGCGACATTTCTGCACACGTATGAAAGCGACGCCTTTGAGCAACGCTTCTGAGTGACGCTACTGAGCGACGCCTCTGAGCAATGAGCGGTGCCCCTGAGCGACACTTTTGATCACACCTCTGATCGACACTCTTCTGATCGACACTTCTGAGCAACACTTCTGATCGAAACTTCTGAGCGAGAATCTCAAGCAACACTTCTGACTGACACTTCTGAGCGACACTGCTGATCGACACTTCTGAGTAACCCTTCTCATCAACATTTCTGATCCACACTTCTGAGCGACACTTCTGACCAACGCTTCTGACTGACACTTCTGATCAACACTTCTCATCTGATCCACCCTTCTGACCGACGCTTCTGACTGACACTTCTGATCAACACTTCTGATCGACAATTCTGATCCATACTTCTGATCCACACTTCTGACCGACCGTTCTGAGCAACACTTCTGACCAACACTTTCGATCCACGCTGCTCATGGACACTTCTTAGCTCTTAGCAACAGTTCTGAGCAACACTTCTGGTCCACACTTCGGATTGACAGTGCTGAGCGACACTTCTGAGAAACACTTCTGATCCACACTTCTGATCGACTCTTCTGAGTGACATTTCTGTCAAAGACTTCTGATCGACACTTCCAAGCAACACTTCTGAGCAACAAATCTGAGCAACACTTCCGGACAACACTTCCGAGCAACACTGTTGAGCAACACTTCTGATCGACACTTCTGATCGACACTTCCAAGCAACACCTCTGATCCACACGTCTGATCGATACTTCTGAGCGACACTTCTGAGCAACACTTCTGATCGACACTTCGGAGCAACACCTGTGAGCAACACTTCTGATCAACACTTCTGATCGACACATTTGTTTGATCGACGCGTCTGAGCAACACTTCTGATCGACACTTCTGAGCACCGCTTCTGATCCAAACTTCTGATGCTTCTGGGCGACACTTCTGCGCAACACTTCTGATCGACGGTTCTGAGCAACACCTCTGAGCAACACGTCTCACCGACACTTCCCGTCGACACTTCTGAGCGACACTTCTGACAACACTTCTACTTCTGCGCAGAATTGTGAACCATGTCAGCGCCACAGCGAGAGCGATTCGACCCGCCCAATGTGCGCAGAGGGTTCGCTTTGCATTTTCAAAAAGTGCACCGCGCCACCCAAAGTGCGCAGAGGGTTCACTTTGCATTCACTTTGCATTTGCAAAATGTGCACCGCGCCGCAGCGAGAGCGATTGGACCCACCCAAAGTGTGCAGCGGGTTCGCTTTGCATGTTCAAAAAGTGCACCGCGCCCAAAGACGGAAAGCTCTAAAGTGCTTCGCCTGTCACGAAGAATCACGTTACAGCAACATGCAAGAATTTGACACTCTCGCACTGCGCGCAGAAAAATCGCGCGGGACTGTAGCGCCAGAATGATTTCGACCGATTTCTTGCAAATCTGCAGTCGTGAAAACGAGCCGATTGTACGACAGGGCCAACGAAAACGGCGCCGGCGCAAACACTATCACGCGCTTGCCAGGCAGCACCCCTGGATCGCAAACCCTGCTGGCACAGCAACGAGAACACGCAGCCTTCCAAAACACTGCGCCTGCGCAGCGAAATGACACGTCGAGCTTGAAAAGCTACGATTCGCGCACAGGGCCGACGAAAACAGCACATCACAAGTCATCCAAACTCACGCATTCTGCGCTTCCCCACTGGGAGAGCCATAGCGCAATCATACAAACGGTTGCGAACGGTTGCGGACGGTTGCACAACATCCGGCGAACAAGGCTTCACCCCCAGACCCCCAAGATGAAACGAGAACCCTATGCTACGCATTCGGGAAAAAGAAGGCAAAGTAAGGCGACGCATTGGAGAAAAGAAGGTTCCGCAAGACACTTCCTTTGCATCTGATGTTCGCAATCCAATTGGAACAACAAACAGCAAATTTACCCCCATATTGGAGGTACAATCACTGGCTCAAGTTTCTATCCACTTGGCCATGCTTCTCACTTGTCCAAAAGACCCGGACATAAACGATGTCACAACCCACTCAACATATCCTAACATGTCAAGCCACTGTGCTGAGGAAGTTCATCATCCGCCACGCATGATTAGATCGGAAAAGTGAACTTCTCAACAAATGACGGCACATGCCAAATGGACATCCTGGTAAACCTCACACCAGCAGGGCGTGAGACACGTTGCAGTGCATGCACATTCCAATACACCTCACCACGCTAACATGTTGATTAAACGTTCAAGTTCTTGCGCGCGCGCACACACACACATTCCAATGAGCCACACTTTGCTAAAGGGTTGATAACAAACGTACAACAGCATACACATCCAACGCACCTACCATGCCCACATGCTACTAAACACGTTCAAGTACACATACACATTACACCCAATCTCGCCATGTCAAAATGGTTCCGCACATGCTCAAGTGGTCCCCACTGACTAACATGCGAGGCAGCCTCGAAGCCACACCCGCCTGGGGGCATGTGCTCGAAACACAAACAGCTCGGTCCAGGAGTCACAGATTAAGAGTGCCAAGATGTAAAGCCAAACAGCAGTGCACGGGTTCCCGAGTCGTCAAACGGAATATGCGTTTTAAGATCTATCACCTTGTCAGCTTGCGCTCCTTGATGAGCTTCAAGCCAGCCACAGAGGGCGGCTCCGTCTTCTGGCGCTTGGCGTGGCGCACGGCCTCGAAGCCTGCCTCGGGAAACGGCACCCACGGGGGTCACCAGGTGTTTTGACAAGGGACTGACAAAGGGCCTAGGGCTGAAGTTCTGGAAAGGGTCCACTACAAGCCCCTTTCAGGGCCTGCAACACTTGTTTATGTATGTATAATACAATGCCTGCTTAATTCTAACGCGTGTAGCGCACAGTTCAGTCAAACGGACCTGCAGGTGCTTGTCATGTTTGCTTCTGCTTTTGGACGACGTGTGTGGGTGTGCACATGATCTATCTGTTTCCCGATGCGGTTTGACCCAAAATATCGTGGTATATTTTCTTTCTGTTCTTTTTGAGATCCCGAAGTCTTGCCTGACATAGCAGAGGTGACTCCTTTATAACAAAAACAGCAGAGCGCACACGTGGCACCATAATTGCTCTTCTTGTCGATCATGATCCTGTGTTCCATCCTTTCCGCAAATTTGGAGTCAGTTTGGCTCGCGCAAACACTGCGGTGACCAACACACTCTTCACACTAAGAGGAAAGCATGCTTCAACAACGATAGCAACGTGGCGAAGAAACATGCTATGCGCGGCAAGGATCTGGAAACACAAAAGTGCAATAGACATGCGTGGAGTTGCGCAAACCGAAGAGGAACGTGAGTTGAGGCATAGTCCACATCCGTTTGGTCCTTTACACGACTCGGTGATGTGTTTGGAAACCTCTGAGAACAACGGAATGGCCCCTGTCAGTGCAACCGCTATGCAAACAAACACTGTATGAAGGTCTACAACCCGTCCTGAGACGACAGCCACCCTCCCAAATAAGCATGGAACCCTGACACATATCCGGAAGGCTTTGGGAGAGTATTTTGCTTGAATGAACCCTCCCAATCCGTTGTTGCTTCTGCAAATGCTTTCTTGGCATGAAATTATCATGCATGGTCCCAGGGCCAAGAGACCAACATCGTATGGCATTCTGCGCTAGCGATCCACGTGGCCTTGTTGGAGTGGTTGGGGAACCCACGTTGCATCAAGAAGCGGTGAGGAGGGAAGCTACCTTTACAGTTTACCTGCTCGACCCGCATGGAGAGAAGCTACAACGAAAGCTGCTCGGAATATCAGAGCCCTCAAGGAAGGTCATGTAGCAAGATCGTGCAAAAAGGGCCAAGATTGGCTGCGGCCCAATGGCACCATGCTTGGCACCATGCTCAAAGCCACTGCAAACTGGGATGCTTCAAATGGGCATTAATCTTAATTAGGGACATCTTTGTGGACATGATTTAGGAAGGGCTTCATCTCCAACGCCTTTTGAGGCAGTTCCCTTTTGAAAGTTATAGCAAAAAAGGGCCGTTTCGCGCCACCTCCCAAGTCCTCTCTTGGTCGAGAAGCGAGCTCCACGTCCAAGCACATCATCAGAGGCCGGGCCTTGTTGTGGATCCTAAGGCCGTGGGGTTCCGATCCATCCGATCCAGACGCCCAGCGCGCCTAAACGCGGTAAAGACATCGATGATATAACTGAACATGCGGCTGGAAGAGGGAGGCTTTCTGCACCATCCCCAAGCCTCCCATATTGTGGTTCTTGTTCAGAGCCTGATCTAGCAAAACAACTCAAGGGGTTGAAACTGAAGCAACATGGGGATATCCAAAAAAAGGGACCTCCAGTTGTTTTGCATTGGCCTTCCATGATTCCGCAAAATAATAAAGCACCCGAATATGACAGTGCTTCTCAATCTCAAGTGCTTGCACGCCTTCCTGCATTGGCTGGCTTCCCTTCAAGCCAATGAAACAGAGAAAAGAGTTCAAAGCACCTTCAAAGCCTACTCAATCAAAGCGTCTTCAACCCCCTCCCCTCCCGAATGAGAGATACGAGGGCCGACTGACATACAAACCATGTGCCTCTTACCAAGCTAGCAATGTATTGCTGCTCCCGCGCCCTTTTGCCGCACCCACAAACACTACATCGCTGTGGGCTGAGGCCATGACAAAAAAACGCAACGCCGACATGAGACTAATCTGTCCAAGGGGTCCCCAGTGTTACGCCATCTCAGCAGAAAGCGTCTCTGCAGGGCGGCAAATGGGAAGATGTCAAACTTGGGGCTTTCCTTTTTTGGTTTTTCTTGATCTTGACATAAACCACCCCCAAAAAGGGTACCCTCAAAAGACACACCCAAACGGTTCTATGTGTTGACAAGTTCAGCTTTTTCAGCCGAGGTCAGCCGGTATTCAGACGAGCTGCCGGTGTGTCAGCCTGGGCACGTGCGAGGGCGACTCCCCTGCACATTCCCATGGAACCCCAAAAGTGATCATTTTCTGAGGAATCTCCTTCTGGACTCCCCTTTTTGGATTGCAATTTGCAATTTGCAAGGGAGCATGGCTCCCTCGGCTCAAGGCGCCACTCAGAAAACAACTCCACTTGCAGAGTCTCCAGGAAACCCTTGAGCTCTGGAACACAACTCGCAAAAGCTTATTTGACATGCACGCCGACGGATTCTAGCTCCCTCGACTCCGGGTGCCCTCGAATGATTGTTGCTGCTATTGATCACGCGCGAACCAGCAAGCAATCACCAGCTGCTCAGGTTGACACAGGACCCAGCACTTAGCGACGACTGACCAGGCCAGCTCAAACATGCAAGCGTGGCAGGATTTTGCTTTCAAACAACAACTATGATTGCCTGGCTAATACGCCGTGCACCCGCCTGAGCAATAGGTTGGGCAACTGAGCCATATGTTGACATATCTACCGTTTCGTCATTCGAGTCCAACATGAACACGTGGGATTGTTCAGAAAGCGCTGGCCTCTTTAAGTTATGTTTGGACTGCAGCGGCTGGCACACTCGCAAATAGACCTTTGGCTGGCCGCGGCAAGCGTGGAGAAAACAAATGTTGAATGCCTTTCCCAATAGCTAAGCACCACTGACACTCAACGCACACTGGCTTTTTCAGCCCATGGTTCATTAGTGGGGGGATGTCCCATTTCAACTAGGGCCTAATTAGGAAGTCCGTGTCTGAGGGCTGCAGCATTGCAACTGATTAACTGGGTCCAAACACCAGGAAAGTAAAAGCTCACTTGGGTGCAAACTCGCACTACACCGAGCCTGGATTGTAGGAAACGCGCACGGAGACAATCCAGCGGAGATGCAAGTCGGGGCGGCAGCAATCACAGGACCCATACATGCGTCAGGTAACCCATATTCAATAGCATAAACTGGTGCAGGAGAGGGAACATCATACATTAAACAATGCCGACCGCTGTGCAGTTGAACAATTCATTTGACATGTTGATCAGATGTGATTGATAGATGCGCGCAAACATCAAGTTTGCCATCTAACGTGGAGCAAACATGTTACGTAGACGTTCCCCGGTGTATTGACTCTCGTTCGGGCTCTGGACTGTCATCTCTCGTCCCAAGCCCTAAATTGGGCTCGAAGCACCGGCCATTCCAAAGCGCTCGGGTCAAGGGGCGTGCAGTTGCCGTGGTCCCCGTACCGCACCTCCCCGACCTGTAGCAGGTCGTCCATCGGTGCCTAGCGTCAGGAAACGGCATCCGCAATCCGCTTTACAGTTGTATCCAATTCGAAATTGGGGCCCCTTGGTGGACATCATTTAGGTGGGGAGTTATGTCCACCCACTTTCGGAGGGTAATCAGTTAAGTTCATAGCCGCTAATGCTTTTTCCATTTCAGGAAGCGGACTCTGCCCGGGAAAGGAGCTGAGGGAATGACATCTTCTGGAGATCCTTTTGTGAGAACGCCAAGCGGCCCGACCCGGCTTAATCTTGGACAGACACGTTGCACAGAATGGCGTGTCAAGCTCAAAACGTTGCTGGGAAGCCCAAAGAGATCCGTCAAAGTGGGTATGTACAATCACACTGATTGAAATATCAGGTTGTGAAAAGCTCGACTTGAGCTTTTGCTCTTGCTCCAGCTACTAAACAAAAACAACGAGTGAAGGTCAGCTGAGAAACCAAACGGCGCTCTCGTGACCCAAGCAAGTTGACAAATTCGGGTCAGTGAAGGCCACATGCAAAAGCCTGATGGCTTTTAGCGACACCAGACCTCCTGCCACTTGGTGTTTTGCACACTGGAGGGAGTGTAGAAGAAGTACAGGCTATCCACGCCTCAGATCTCTGCCGCTCGCTGGGTTGAGTGATTTGGCTGACAGTGTCAAATTGCTTCCGCGTGAGCGGCTTGGATGGTTGAATGCTTGTGGCTGGCTAGCTCTCGATCGGCTTGCCATCGGGGCATGTCATTAACTGTAAACCCAAACTCGCCCATCTGAACGCATGCTTGGTGGATCCGAAACGAGACGTGCTGACAACTTTCCCCATCCTTTTCGCCCATCAACTGGATGACCATGAGATGTCCATGACAAGCTGCGACGGGCCGGCTGAAAAAATCAGCAACCATCACCAATGACGAACCTGCTTGATCTGTCCAAACCTTCGTTGAGTAAAACAACTGATATCGCTCAAGCTTCTGAGACTGCACCTTTCTAGATGTTAAAGCCTGTCGAGTCAACGGAATCCAAAGCAAGAAAGGTGGACCAAATATCGCTTCTCTGCCATGCCAACTGGTTCTGTTGCCGAAGTGACCTTTAGTTTGCTGGAGGCTTTCAGGGGGTCCCTAGGACTAGAAGGAAGCAGGCATCTACATCTACACACGAAGCATCCAGGAACTCTTGAGAAGGCCCGTGCTGGCTCCAAATGGCTCCAGACTGGAAATGACCACATTGCAGCAGTCCTGGGCTGCGTTTCTTTGGGGACTGGCTTTATACCACTTCATCGCCGAGGGACGGTGCACGTGCATCAGGGTTGTGTCTCCAGGCGCGTTTTCCTGAGGGCCAGGGGCCACGTAAGCTGAGCATTTGAAGGTTGAAAAAGAAGGCTAAGGCATGTCTCGAAGTTGCTTGCGAAACTCAGCAAAGCGACATAAAGCTACAGGGGTTGGTATTGGTGGAAAGCTCTGCAAGTGCTTCGAAGGCGGTTGGCGAATTCAGCTTCAAAGGTTCAAGGATCGCTTCATATGTCTGCTTGGAGGTCTCTGGGCCACGTCAGCAATGCCCATCCCCCCGCCAACATAAACAAATATCTTAAAACGAGGAACACCATAACACATCATGAACAACCACGCGTCACATATCCAATATTTCCAAGGGGAGCAACTCAGCTCAACGACTCAATTTTAATAACATGTTTCAGTCGCTGGCTTTAATTCTGAGCTTTGAAGCTGCAAAAGAGTCCTCGTGTCCCTCCGCGCGTCCGTCCGTCTGCTCGCGTTTTTGGGTTCCCGGCCACTCGGAACACGCGCAGGTGGCTATTGGAGAAGACGAGCCAATGCCTGCCACGTTCCAGTCAGACACCCTGAGCACCACGCCACAATACTCTTCCACAGAAAACCTCAGATGGATTTGGACCAGGGTGTGCCTATGCATCAACCAACCTCCAATTTTTGCTTTGCAGCCTTTGTGTGGATGTGGCTCAAACTGCAGTGTGTGGCAGATTCCATCCCCACTTCAAGCAGATTTTCTTTCAGAAGGGTGGGCCAAATGGGATATCCTAAATGCATACCCCAAATAATCAACAACAAATACCTTTTTTTGTGCATACACTCGGATTTGGGCAAACTCGCCTGCTGCCTTTTGAGGGGTGACGCTGTTAGATGCCTTTGAGCAGGTGGCCTAACCTGGGAAGAGTTTATCATGTGTCAGGAGGTTCATTCAAAACATGATTAGCCAGACCGGCTTGGATTTTGAATGTCTCAATGCTGACTCTAACGCGCAGAGCGAACGTGGTGGGTTCAACGGGTTCAACATGAGACATCAATTTGCGTAGCCTCTCCTTAAGTCCCAACATGTCCCAACCCTCCCCAAAGGCGCAAAGGCGGCACAACATGACGCCGAAGGAGCCCCTGGCACGGTATCCGACGCTCGCCTGGGCTCTTGTGGCAGCTCGACAATGGGCTTGAGCAGTGCAGCGTCCACCTCAATGCATGGGCCATGAAGGCATCGATTTTGGGAAACCCAGTGAGAACTATGATATGGTCACGGTCCATTTTTTAAGATGAAGCATATGGATCAATCAAGTGATTCTTACCTTTGCTCAATCTGTGCAGGCAAGAAGCCAGGCTTCCCTCATCACTGGCGGCCAAACGGAGCGGTGTGAAACACGAGCCGAGCTTCTTAGGACCTCACTTCTCTCTTTAAGGAAATCTGCTCAAAGTGAAAGGCAAACATCTGAAGCTTGCGGAAATAGAGCACTCGAAAAACGGCCAAGGATAGAAAGACACCATGACTCGGCATGACTGTTTCCCTATATGCTGGAGACTGGGTCGTGAACGCATGCCCGCAGCCTTGTGGGCCGCACAAATCTCAGGACATGAGGGAGCTGCTGGAAATGACTAGGCGGACACAAACTGCCATGGAATGTCGGGTCTTACTCTCAAGGTTGAATGGCATTTTCATGGCATTATAATCCAATCCCGCAAAAAAGGGGGTCTCTTTCGCCGCATATCAAATGGACTCCGGCTGATGGGTCACCTGCAAATTCAGAGCTCGTATGTACGCGAGCCTCAAATTTACTCAGAAAATCCATCTACCCTCTTTGGCGTTTGCTCGTTAGTCTTACTTAAACATCGGCATCTTCTTAGTTGCGCAGCATTTGGGGAAAAGGCTGCCTTTCTCTCCAATGTTCATAATCCCATCATTTTCAGAACCAGCCCTTTTGACTCTTGCTGATGGGCAACATTTGCGAACACCCAAAGGTTGAACTGATCTTCTGCTGCCCTCAAACAAGAATGTTCCCCGCACGTTTGCCTTTCTTTTTCTTTGGACCCCGTACACCTTTACTGTCGCCCCACGTTTTGCTTGTGTTCCCTGGTGGGTGCCCATGAATAAAACGCTGCGCTGCCCTTCCTGTTTGGCCGAAGCCACATACTCTGCCGCGAAGTCTGCCGCGATGGCAGCTGCTGAGCTGTCCTAGAGCCCGAATCGATGGCCCAGGGAGCATTCACCATCTTAGTCAAAGGGAATACATCCTTTTCACGTTGTATGATATTCAACCATGCGAAATGCTTAAAGGCAAACCATGCATTTGGATTTTTCGGTTTCACCCAGGCCCAGTTTGCTTTCAAATGCAGTGATTCGTGGTACCATCCAGAGCGCTTACATGATTATTTGCGTGAGTTGATACGTTCTCCAAGGGAAGTCCGCCCTATCAGGGGCAGGTTTCATGCACCCAGCACCTGTATGATTGTACTAACTTGGCCACAAACGTTGTGGATAGGAGCAAAAGTCTATCTTCCCTTGTGTTCATTTCTGACACGGTTGGCAATAGCTCCTATCTACAGGTTCACGTTTGAATATAGCCAAATGTAGCCAGCGTGGGCTCGCATTTCTGCTCAAGCATTAAGTGTTTGTTGTTCTCATTGGGGAACAGGGGATTCCCCCCGCCAACCATTTCCTACAAGAATCCATAATGTCTCGCTGGAAAGAGCTTGGCGGAAAATCAACACGAAACTAACGGCCTGAAGAGGCCAGCTCATTTTGAACAAAACTGCCAAGAAAATAAATAGGTACAATCTGCAACTTGCGGACGTAACAAAACAGGCCTAACTTGGAGCACTTTGATTCTACACGTAGTCATGATAAGACAAATCTAACCGTCATGCATTACTTACCCTCCCATCCACAACCATGGAACCTCACAGGGGGCGGAGTCCAGGAAGATCAGTGTCCTAGAAAAGAGGCCCTCTGGAGGGTTCCATGGCAACGACAGGAGGCAGGTCCCTGACCCTCCCATCCACAAACATGGAACCTCACAGGATAGCTGGCTCGTCATTTGGTTGAGCCACGGCACCGCCACCATGCCCAGCTGCCGGGCGCGTGTTGCGTCCATGTCCCGGTGGAAGCTGCCCAGCTTCTCGCAGAGCGCGGGGTCCGGGGCGTAGCCTCTGGTGAATCAAGGGTGAGGGGTGGCGGCTCAAAACCTGCTGGAAAACCTTGGCTTCTTGTTTTTAATGCGGGGGTCGAACCAAGGGAGGGGGGTTGAAGTATTAAGACATGGGTAATTTTGAGCAAGCTGAAACTGGTGGATATCGGTGGACCAAGGAACTTTGGAATCCCGCCCGACCTTGCCGAGCAAAGATGGAGGTAGAAGCAACCCAGTAAAGCATCTAGTGCTCTGACGTTTCAACAAAATGGGTGGCCATTGGAAAGAAACCCGGAAATTGGGCTTCCTCTCCGCCCATTCCCACGGGAGGTGAACATGCGGATAGAGTCGCCGGCCCAAATGACCAGGAGGCAAAGTTGCAATAAACCAAAAGCATTGATGGAAAGGACAAGGTCAACAGTCAAATGGTTGAATCAAACCTCAACCCTCCGTGTTTCTCCAGGCTTCTCCAAAATGACTCTGGGCTATGATGGAAGCTTCACATGGTTCAGGGTTAGTTAGAGGGGCAAAAAGGGGGTACATGGCCCAAAGGTCCAAAGGTAACAAAGAGTACCTCTTGGCCCGAAATGAACCTGCAAAGACAACTCTCTTTTGTACGTGACCAATTATCTTTGAATGCTTGAATACTCCTATGCACTCGGCACCCCACTCCCAAATTTGTCGAGGTCGACGAAACAAGCAGTTTCATGGAACCACCAGTGAACCGATCAACTTTTGCAGAGTCACTGTCTGAGTGGACTGGCCAAAAGAAGTCCAACTCGGGAAGTCAGTCTGCCTTCGATCCTGTGGGTTTGTCTCAAATATGGGGAACCCCCAGAAACCAACGATCTGTTTCTCCTTGGTTTCCTTTTCAACCAATTCCAAAAAAGAGTATCGCCTCCAAAACAATGAGTATTTTTCAAACAATGCATTTGGCCAATCCCAAAAGTGTGCTGCTTGGTTTCCCTTTCACCAATTAATCCCTTTGGAATTTCCAATTGGTGGCAAAGGCTCAAACAACTGCACCAATCATGGCACTTGGGTAAATGGAACCAAAGGCTGAAGTGCCGTGCCCCAGCTCCATAGTCTTCCAGGTCCTCGAGTAGAGAGGTTAGAATAAGGGTACCTTCTTTTTTCTGTAGTCTATTTTAGTAGGGGAACCCTCCCTCCGAGAAAGAAACGGTAAAAGAAACGGCACCAATTGCTGGGGGACCTAGTCTTGAGCCACCTTCCCAGTGGCGATTTCACAAATTTTCGCCCCGGCGCTGACCTTCCCCAGCTTCGCCGTGTCCTGCACCACGCTGGCCACCGCCTGCTCCAGGTCCGACAGGCTCAGGGAGAGGCATCTGAGCGCCGGGGGGGGGGCGGGAGCGCTGCTTGACATGGGCGCAAGCGGCGCAAGCGGCGCAAGGGGATCTAACGTACCAAGTCAGGAGAGTTGGACTCCAACCAAAAGTGGGTGGCTTCCTCTTCATTTTGGAACTACCCAAAGTGGTTCCTAGAAGAGCGTGAGAAGCGTGGTTTCGCTTTGATCCCCAACATCGACCGTACAACGGGCAGCTCCCCATGTATTTTGCGCGGCCTGCTTGCTGGCTCCGGCACCAGTGTGGGATTTTGTGGCCAGGGCCTCTGTTTATCCGTAAGGCGCTGTGTGTCATCAAGACCCGGCCGCCAATGGCCGCGATGGGAATTGCCATACTTATGGCCCTTTGAGCCAGACGCAGGGGTATCAGGTGTATCTACTCGGTGCAATCACATAGCGACTTGGTGAAACGAGGTCCCTTGAGGCATTGGTGCAACCCCTGGCCCCCAAAGAAGGGTCACCTTGGTCCCATGCTGTCCACGGCGAGTCGAGTTGCGGGAGGTTCATGGCCCGGTCCATGGAATCCGACAGCGCCGCTTGCGGCAGGTCCGCAAGGTGCAGCAAGTTCCTGCGTGCTCCGCTTGGCTTTGTGTGGCCTTGGCTTTGTTCTGAGTGACTCTTCGTTTGTTTAATCGGCCCTTGCTTAGGCGATCGTCTTCATGCTGCTTGGTTCAGGAAGTGGTGACAGGGTCAAAGAACAACAAATGACTGGGAACTTTCTTTCCTGTTGTTTATTCGAGATCAACCAGCATGATAAGCAGGAATACGTCAAGTGATTGCTTTGTCTGCTTAGCAAGCCAAACGTGAGATGAGGGAACTGCTTTCCAGCTATTTGCGTTGCCCCGAAACAGCAACACTCGTCAAGTCCCCAAAACAGCCCCAAATAGCACGCAGTATACGAGACCACCCGGGTGATCCTAAATACTTTGGAGTCTATCTTGGCGATCTGCTTGTTGATAGCCCGAATTCAAAACAACGAACACCGCGCGGCTCCAGCCGACTGACCAAGTTTGCAAGTGCGGAGGCTATACCAGAATGGCAGCTGCCATCAACACTTCATTATCATTAACTAAGCCAATTACATGCCTTCCCCCCTTCGCACATCTGCACAAAACACGCCACAGCCCCCTACCCAGGTCCTTGCCAGGACGCGGAAACCGCAAACGGCATGCTTCATGTCCGGCGAGAGGTTCAGAACCTGCAACAAAGGCCGCCAGGTTCATGCAAGTAGGCCCTTCAGACCATCCCAAAATGGCTCCTTGTCTTGATACTCAACTTGATACATACCGAGTATGCAATTCAAACGGATCATCTCACCGAAACCAGTTCCAATGGGCAAAATTAGCAAGCCCTCCAAATGACAGCGGCTGCTGCGTTTGTTGGAAGCCATGAAGATAAGGTGGTCCAACGGATTTCGACGCATATTCCTAAATTAACCCCAGACCCGTTCGGCGGGGTTCCAAGCAAGAGGCCGTACCAAGGCATAACTTCCCAAGACTTGGGTGCACCAACAAATTCAAAACTCGTGTTGGACTCCTCTGGCTACGGCGATTTTGCCTGTCGCTGGCCTCAGCTCAACTTGCAAGGGACGGCCCTTGCGATCTGACCAAACTCACTAGGGGTTGTGAAAACGTAGCACACGCAGAGGAAACCATACACCCTCGGAACCAAGGCCTTGCGTGGTATGTGTTCAAGCTTGGCGTCCTTTGCCTTGTGTCAGCGCCATTCACGTGGGCTACATTCACCAAACGACCGCCAAACAATGGGGAATTCCTCACAAGCGGCACCATCCGACTGACCAAAGCTGTGGCTCACATGCAACCCAGTTAGGTTGCTTCGGGTTGCAAAGGGAAGGTTGCAACTTCAACAAGTGCATGCGAAGTTGTCTTTGCTCGCAGCCGTCTTGCGAAGCTTTCGCGGAGCTTTCGCAGCCCCACGTTTCCCTTGCAGCACGCCTTTGCTAAGTTTCCGGTTTTGTGTCTCTGGCCCGGAGAACCGGGATTCAACTGATTCAACCACCGTCCTGTGCCTTAGGTGGCCTTCCCCTTTTCGGGGCGGTCTTTCCCTTGGCCACGGGTTGGTTTCTCGAGAGACTGGCGCTGAGTTCGCCCGAGCCGCGCAGCTTTGGCCCTTCAGCGGCTCCCGGATCACTGTGGAGAAGGCGCCCGGGAGCCCCGAGTTCACCTCCTGCCACAATTCGGGGATCGTCGGCCGAGCCGAGGGGGACGAAGGGAAACCACTGGATATGTGCTTTTTTGAGGATGCCCTTTTTGGGGTGGTTTAAAAGGGAATCTGAAGGGAAACAGTAATTGTGGGGGTCCCCTATTTTGACATCCCAGCCACGAAAAAGAGAAACAACGCATCAAGGGTGGGAGGCATGCACCGCTGTTTTCACGCCAGTGTGTTTGGCTCGCCTGCACAACGCATGCCGCACACCCCCCCCCCCACCTCCCCCCAACCCTACGTCCTAAGCCCGCCATAAACCAACCCGACACCAAACCGAGGCCCGCCTACGCTGCCCCAGCCCAACCGATAAGCCAAACATGAGAGTTGGTACAGGCTGCGTATGGATTGCGATTCGCCAAAACTGGGCCACAACATATGCAAACGCACAGTAGACGCATGCGGCTCGCTCCGGCCGGGGGATCACGGTGGGCAGCCGCGCGGTGCGCCCATCCAGAAAATTCCGCCGGGTGTAGTCGTTGATCATCAACTCGCAACAGGCCTTCGTCCTGAGACCATGTTGAGGGCACATTTGACATTGGAGTCCAGAATAAGTTGGTGAACCCCGGAAGGAATCAAAACGAGATACCATGAGATAATATATACCATTTGACTGGTTTTTACGCATGCTCTTTTCGCAGTGGGCTGGGTGGTACCACACAAGCTCCTTCCAACCCGTTGTTGCATTGCAGACTCACTTCTAGGAACAAAACCCCAAACTGGACCAGCTCACTGGGACACCAACCGGCATAGATTGGACCAATCGGGTATGTTTTTTCCAAGACTTTGGAATGCCCCCAAATGACTTATACATTTCTATGCCTTCGTTTACCAAGCATGCAACACAAATCAGCGTCCAGAGTCTCGTGTCACCAAGCTTCAAACTGTCCAAAGTCGATCGCGGTTCCTGGGGGAAAGCAAAAGTCACATTGAGTGCCGCCTTTCAGAGGGGTCCAAGAGGTCGATCATTGAGACAGGCCGACACGTCTGCGGGCAAGGCTGAGGCTGAGGATTGAGGACTGAGGACCAGAATAATACCGTGCCCATGCTGAATCTGTTCCAACTCTGCTCTGGGGGTCGATTCCTCCCTAGAGGCCAGAGTTCTCTTCAGAACTCTTTAGTTACCATCTGTATAAATCAAGGGCCGGGATGTTCCAAGCAACCCTGAAGAGCATGGACCACATGTTGATATTCCGGACGTTGAGATGCGGTGTTTGTTGAGGGAGTCCGAAAAGCACCAAACCAGTTTTGGGGTCCCCTATGGAGTCTCGGAAAGCCAAATCGCGATTCCACCGGGTCTCATGCCGTAGCTGGTGCGTGGCAGCAGCTTGGTGTCGTCCCTCTCCGGGCCCGCAGCACGCTCGCCGAAGCACGCGCCGGAGGAAGCGAAGATGAACTTGGAGTTTCGTCCTCGGATTCCGGACGGACGCTTTGTGGGATCCCCGGCTTATCCTCATAGGGCTTTTGCCAAGCCCGCTCAGCCCCTAGGGGTCGCTCAAAGTGGAAAAACATACAGAGAATAGTTTGCGATAAGCTCGTTATAGGTTTGTTTTTAGGGCTTGATGCTGCTGTCTCATCTCTAAATCCACAGAAGTCTTCTCTATCAAAGGCAAACAGGAGTCTTAAATTGACTTTCACAGGGTAGTGCCCTCTTGCAATTCCGTTGTTTGCGCACGTGTGTGTGTGTGAACAGCTGGCACAGCAACCTGAATCTGCACAGCAGCGAGCTTGCTTCAGCCCTGAAAATACATCATCGTTTTAATAAGCGCTCCTCGCTTGAAGTCCCGCCTTACCGTTAGCTCATGGTGGTAGGCTCTATCCTCTCACTGTTGAAGCTCTAGGAAGGCAACACCGTTCTCGGGCAATCGGAAGTTCAGCAAGGGACACTGCCAAGTGACAGTCGATCTCTAGATCAGTTGAAACCTGCGGTGAGCCAACCAAACCGTGATCACTAGCTGCCAACTCGCCGGTGAAGCTGGAAAAAAAGTTCTGAGACTCACTCTTTGGAGACAGTCACAAAGGAAACGCGGGCCCTGGTACCCTCCCAAATCAAGAATCAAATCATGAAAAATCGATTGCCGTTGGGAATGGAGCCTTTTGCAGGCCCAGAATTTGGGCAAATGTTTATCCACTTGCCATGACTTCCTCTTCCTCTACGTCAAGTTTCGTCGACGGCAGGCCTCGAGGAGGTTCCGGGTGCCCTCCATATTGACCTAGCAGCGTTCACTGGACCACGGGCCCATATGCTCTTTCAAAGGCTAGTCGCTGCTTGAATGACCGCCCTTTGTCTCGGAGTTGCGTTATCTCACCGACAAGACTGAGCCCGTGTTTACCGCAACAGGATTGAGTTTGACGCGATGTCATGTCTCGAACTCTTTGTATTGGTTACGCCATAAGCGCGGCCGAGACTACCAGTTCAACACCATGCCCGAGTAGCCATCAGGAAAGCTGCCATTTGGACGGGCTCCCACCAAATCTTGAGACGTACACTCGAGCGAACTATTGGCAACAATCGGCCGGTGGGGGTGGTGTCTAGGCAGAGCATACCAACTGTTGTTCAGGACATTCGTGACAATCTTTGCCATAGATGCAGATGTGTTGACGTTTTTGTTGGTAGTCTGGTTTCCGGGTCCGTTTGACTTGCTCCTTGTGATGCCACCAGACAAGTGTGCGACACACACACACAATCACACAATCTGAATAGAGTACAAGGCACGCATCTGAGAATCCAGACTATCACTGCCTCACTGCTGGCAAATGAGCAGAGATATCGTTTCTCACTTAAGGGTGATCCAAGGATTGAAGCAGTAGTGGGCGGGCACAATATACTTTGCTGCAACATGTTCATGAGATCTCAGACGCAAACATTTATGCACATACACGCGTGGCGTGTGTGTGTGTATATATATATATATGTGTGTATACACATGTATATATATAATATACAATATATTTATATGTATGTATAGGTATGCTACTGGTAATAGGTGTATCTATGTGCACATAGATGTTAATTTTTGGCTGTCGGACCCTTCAGGTTGGGCGAGTGGCGCGCCAGCAGAGATCGAAGTCCTCCTCACCCTGGCCGCTCATCACTGAGGCCAGGTGAAAGACCACCATCCCGTCCTCGGTCGATTCTCCGTAAAAAAAACTAAACTAAGCGTGGAACTTTGGTGGAACCCTGGTGAAACCTTGGTGGAACCCTCGTGGAACCTTGCCTCAGGGCTGCCCCGGACCACGGAGCCTATCTGGGCTGAGACCCCAAAGCTTTCAGCTGTTGGGACCAGAACTACCGGAACCTCCGGAACTTTCCTTCAACCTGACACTCGGCCTGCACCAGACCACCCCGGAACATCCGAAACCTGCCTTGAACCTTACCCCTAGCCTTCAATGTTGAAGTTTAACTAGGACCTCTGGAGCGTAGATGTTTTACTCGCAAGTGCGGTGTTTTACTTGAAGAGATGTTTGCATGTCTATGTTTGGCTGCCACTCTTCCAATGGATGCAACCTTTAGATCAGATGATGTTGTATTTGCACGCCTTCTAGAGTTCTGCAAAAAAAACGGCCGCGTGAAACAGTGTGAACTTCGCGTGAAACGCGGTGTTTACCCGTGAGCTGCGGTGTTTACCCGTGAAGTTCGCGTGCCCCAGTTTCCTGTGATACACCCAATTTACAAAGCGGAGAAGAAGAGGAATTGTGACCTGGGCCTTCTCCGGAACCTTTGTGCCAGACCGCCCCGGAACCTCCGGAACCTTGCTTGAACCTGACACCTGGCCTGCACCATGCACCAGACCGCCCCGGAACCTCCGGAACCTTCCTTGGACCTTACACCTGGCCTGCATTAGACCACTGAACCTCCGGACACTTTCTTGACCATACACCTGCCTGCACCAGACCACCCCGAACCTCTTGCACCTTACACCTGGCCTGCACCAGACCCCCGGAACCGCCGGAACCTTCCTTGAACCTTACACGTGGCCTGCGCCAAACCACCCCGGAACCTCCGGAACCTTGCTCGAACCTGACTCCAGAGCTCCCCCAAGCCACCCCCAAACCTTATCTGGGCTGAGACCCCTTAGCTTTCAGCTGTTGGGGAATAAACAGCAAATATGTCTGCGGCTATTGTTGCTTTACTTGTATGCTGAAGGGGATCCACGATCTAGTCTGTGAAGCAAAGCTTTGAGTCTGCCCTTGCTTATTGCTTTCCTTTTAAGACCACAAGCCCAATAACAATATTTGTTTGTTAGCCCAACACAGGCGCGCGAAGAATGATCTAAAGCCTCTGCATGCCAACTGACTATACCAATAAGGAAGGCACATGTGCTTCTTGCACCCTACTACAAATCTAAGTCTGGGGGTCATAGTCTGCCTGACAACTGTTCTCTGAGTTGCCAGTGAAGGCCCAAGCCAGTGATGCTGAGACTAAACCGTACAAAAGAGACATATCAATCGTTTTGGAATTCGGCATAACCCAAACCTGGGGATCGAGGCTCGTACAAATACTGCGAGGCACACGCATTGAATCATGAGAGGTAGCGGGTGGATCCTAGAGGCAGGTGTGGCTTTGTTTTCGCCTTCACGACTTTGGCTCCAATGTAATTCAGGGTTTTATTGGATGACCGTACTTCGGAAGGCAGATCATGTACAATAAACACGCCCTATAATTGGCCAAATCTATGAAACCAAAAGCAGATACTGGAAGGGTCATAGATGTCGCTCACCTAACAAATGGTGAGAAGGCAACGTACTACAAATTCACGAACCTCCATATAAGGAGCCTTCACTATAGGCCCAGGGTTCTTTGGTTTTTACAGACCTCCGCATACCTTCAGTGAGCTCGAATTTTGCGCGCATGCCTTGGCCATGCGCATTCGTTTCACTTGTGCGCCTCGTCAACCAGCTTCTCGCACTGGGCGGGATCCGTGATGTCCCCGGGCTGCACACGCAGGCGGGGGTCCTTGGGCAGATCCTTGGCAGTGCCTGGGTCGAGTGAGGTAAAGGTCACCCTCAAGCAGAAAGGATCCGCGAAAATGGAACAGACTTGAACACCACAAACGCCATACGCTCCCCACAGTGAATGGAGAGGAAGCGGTGTCCCGCCCGCCCGAGTCACATGGACATGGAAGCATCAGATTTGAACTCCTCAACCACTGCCAGCGAAGATATGTAAAGGATGTGATGGGCCCGCCTGAGTCGAAAAGCACCACCTCCCGCACTTCCTGTTTCTGGTCATCTGCCTCAGTGGAGAGCAAATAATGCAAGGGTCATGGTTTGACCAGACTAAGCAACCAACACATCTTACTCTTTTCTGGCTGAAGAGGATATGATGGAAATACATAGTCTTGCAATGCTGAGTGACGCAACGGCTATGGTGGTCGCATATGGGTCTGAAGAGCGATACTCTTCGTTCCCCTGCACGGTCGATGGCACAGAACGGGATTCCTCTAACCTGGCCCAAAGAAGTCTTTTATAATATAGGAGGCAATTTGCGATCTTGCTTGCGCATGGACTCTTCCTCAGTTGCAGTGGCTGGACGAAATTGTGCAACGGAATTCACAAGTGCTTGGTACCTGCTGTTTTGAGCGAACAGGTGAACGCATCCACACTGGGGTTTACTGAGACATTTTGCCATCCTTCCGCCGCCGCCATGGCTAGGTGACGGCACTCGGAATCCAAATCGCAACTCTGAAACGGGCATGTCTTCACATAGGGGTACCCCAAAGATGTTTCCTTTTGGCTTTCCTTTAACACCACAGAAAGGGGGGGGTAACCTCAAAGCACACACACACAAACGGGATGCTTGTGCTTCAATTGGAACGGGCTTACCAAAACCCGCAGTTGCACCCACCCTCCGATTCCGGAGTCCATTCCGCCAGCTTGCAGATGTCAGCTCGCCGATGGCGAGGAGGCCTCAAGTTGGTATCTGTTCGAACTCCTGACATCTTTTCCCATAAAAAATACCGCACCCTCCCGGTATATTTTAGACCACACGCATTGGGCCTTGAAATGCGGTGGATTGCTGGAAGTCGAAAGACGAGAAGGCGGGGTTGTATTTGAGTCAGCATGTCCAATTGGGTAATTGAAGAGGCTCAATAACAAAAAAGAGCATGGGCTTCAGGAGGATGTCGCGCAGCCTTCCGGAACCGGCACCAGGGCCGCCCCAAGCTCGGGATGGGCTGTTTGACTCCATAGCCGCTGTTGCGGCAACAACAAGAAACACCAACGAAACAAGTCCTCATCAAGGGTTTTCTGTTGTGTTACCCCCAAAGTCAACCGTCGCATGTCAATCTGTGGTCCAGAAACATGAACGCCTTTTTGATTGGTTTTGGAGGGAACCCCAAGTGCTTTTGCGAGCCCCTGTTTGGGAAATGCCAAAAAACAAGCTGTCGGGTGAGCATTGAAAGCTCACATTTGTGCACTGTGTCTAGTCACAAGGACAGTCACCTGGGCCAATGTCAAACCTTTTCGTGGCTGTTGGAAGGAAATCAAGACCCTTCCGGGCCCAATATGTCTGGGTTCGGGCTGGCCCCGCTTGTACAAACCTGTTAGGACCCACCATGCTTGAAACCCCGTTACAATTGAAACAACGGTTTTCGCCACCCTTGGCCCTTCACCAAACGGCGTATTCCCCGAAACTTGGGGCACCGAGGACCATCCGATTCGTGGCACCGAGGTGCGCTTGGCCACCTGGAGCCCCAGGAAGCCGCAGCCGCCGGTGACGACCACTTTCATCGCGTAGGGCGGACGCGTTGGGGCAGGGGGAGCGCGTCGCGCGTCTTTGTGGAGTTGGTAGTGACTGGTAGTGGTAGTTGCTGCTTCTTTTTTTGATGGTTGCTGCTTTTTGTGGGGCTGTTTTGTGGTGGTGCCTTTGGGTGCCTTGGTGCAAAGGGAAACTAAAGGAGCCCGAAGCTAAACCCAGGAAGGGGGGCGAACGAGGTAGGGGCAGGGACCGAGGGGGGCGGATGAGGAGAATCACGGTGATAGCGAAGACTTCCCATCCCCGCGTGGCTGGTGGCTGGTGCTTGCAATTTGACACGTAGGAACAGGTGTGGTTGGGAAAAACTAAAGGTATGCTCACAGGGATTTCGAGACTGCCACAAAGGATTCGTGGCATGAACAGGTCGTCGTGTCTCAGGACGTCATGCGTCCACATGATGCCATTCGAGTCGCCGAACATCTCCGACTGCCAAGCTGAAGAGCCAGAATGCACCAGGCAGTCGCATATACGGTGGCGGGGGGGGGCAAAAACTAGGGCCTATGTTGTCCCCAAAGATGCCTTCAGTTGGGTAATGCCGCAAAGCCCACGGGCTGAAGAACCAATCTCCTCATCCCAAACTGGTGTTTTAGATCGGTCAATTGGCATCAAGAGGAGCTTGGGGTTCAAACCCCTAAATCAACAAGAGCAAAGACGAACTGCTTTCATCTCACATAGTCTGGCACTGCGCGGGATCCGGGCCTATAGGGGGCATTGATCTACTTCAAGGCCATTCTTCGGAAGATGCAGCCATTCTGAGTCCTTCAGACCGATCTGAGGCTGACAGTACACCCAACTTCAGTTCTGAACCTGAGTTCAGTCAGAACAGACTCACTCCGACACAATAACTGCTATAAAACGGGAGATGAACTAATCACCTTGAACTCTTAAGGTGCTCAGGGATCCTTATTTTACCTGCAGGTCTCCTACGCATGAACAGTGTTGGTGTGCTGTTGAACGGGGATCGCATCCAAAAGACCTCCGGACGAACCTCACAGGTGTGGCTTCACAATTCTGTGTCAAACATGAGGCCCAACGGCGGATATATATATATATATATATATATATACATATGGATGTCCCAGGCAAACCTGGACTCAAATCGCGGACCTTCTGCCAATGGTTTGCAATTCTTGTTTTTGAGAAGCCGACGACAAACCTGCCAAGGGGAGGTTGGTTGACTCTCAGAGAACTCCGAAGGGTTCCTGCACCGACAGAATTGTCCTGGGCATAGGCGGAGTCTAGGGTCCGACTCGGGAGTGACAAATGGGACCTGGACCCCTTTGGGTGGGTGAAGCGTCATTCGTGTAGCCTATTTGGGTATGTGCCACACAACCGGGGATTCCTCCAGATGATCGGTTTAAGGTTGGTTCCCTTTCAAAGCCGCATCCCAAATGCGCTCCTAGTTTTGACAACATGCCCATTCTTGGTGCAAGAGTCTCTGCAGGAGATTCCTCGTTCCCACACATGATCCAAGTTGATGGCTGTAGCTCAAGTTGCGGCAACTTGGGAGTCCGGCGAAATGCCCAGGCGACGGGCTACAGCTTGAGGTCGAGGAGGCGTTGCTGGATGCCTGCGCTTGAATTGCTTGCGAGTCAAATGGAAATGGAGCACCAGCGTTCAAATTTCGCATGGTGCTTGTGTAAAGAGCCCTCAATGCAACCACCGGGCCCCTTCCGTCGCCGTTTTGCAATACCTGTTTTCAAGGGCGCACCGGGGAGGTGGAACGAGTCAGGCAGAAGATGCCCGTGAGTGAAGGACACCGTTTAAAACATCCGTCAATGATCATGGGTGGTCGGCTTTGAAAGGATACCGGAGTGAATGGAGGTGTGCAACTCAGTTGCTCGCAACCAAGCTTCCGGAATACCAGAAGCAACCAGAGTTCAAACAACTCGCCCAGGACGGACTCGGCCTGGATACGTCATGACCAAATTGTTGACCACCCCGGCTGGTCAATGGTAGCCTTGGTGATGAAATTTTAGTCACACACAAGGAAGCTCGGCATTGGGCACCTCAAAGTATCAGTCACATCCTGTCGCTTCGCGAACCAGGAGAGTGGTGGTTGCTGCCGTCAACAGAAAGTGCGAATTCTGCCAGTCAGGCAAGGAAGGGCATGAAGTTCGACGACAATGGCATACCTCATACAAAGTAAAGCCATTCCTAAAAGTCAGATCCCGCGCAGAGTCTCTGCGTCGCCAACTTTGAGAAATATCCAACATCGCGGCCCAAGTGACATGCCATGCCTCTTGGTGTCTTTCATTCCAAGGGTTCACAAACCGCCTGCGCAACTCACCGCTGCTGAGGGCCTTCACTTAGAACGGTCCCCACCCTGCTGCCGAGCTCTTTCTCGCTCTCAGTGCGACGACGAAGCTACCGGCTTTCCGGAGAGCAAGGAGGGCAAAGCTTCATCTCGTGCTTCGGCTAACGGCTGCTACTGACACCGGCATGTTGTGGGTAGCTACACTATGCTACACTGTATATAGGTCTGTGGTAATTCGGTGTCTTCCATGTGATACACCGCGCAAGAGCTGCTGCTTCTGCCATTGTTGTTTATGATGTCGTTGCGATGTCCCTATGCGTGTGTTGAGCGACATGCATGTGCGAGTGAGTCACAGCTGTCCCATTTTTGTGACCTTCAATCTACACAGAACACTGATGCAATCAGAAGGAATGTCTCGCGAGGAACACTCAGCAAGGTCAGCACCCCAATGGCAAGCCACATGGACAAGATACCCATAAGTTGTTTGGGTGAAAAAGATGTAAACACCGTTTTTGGACTTCCAAAGAGAAGCGACACGAAACATCTCCACGGTTCCAAAAACGGTGGCCCTATTGTTGACAACCTCCCCCACCCCACGCAGAAGCTTGTGTGTGTTGTTCCAATTTGTCTGGTTCCCTGAGCAACCAGTCTGAACCCAAAACTCAAGCTTCCAGCCTAGAACCAAAAGCAGGGCGTACAATGGCATCTTTTGTGTGCGTGCATATATATATATAATGTGCCTATACAGGTTGACTGTATAGAATATGTGGATTCCACGCAAGGCAGTCTGTCATGAAACATGTGCCTTGACTTCCTTAACGAATTGCTGCTCGCACAGCAACCACAGCGACTTTTGCGCGAAGCTGTCTTTTCCCGGTTTGGACTCAATGGCTTCATGTGCCTCAACACAACAAGTACCTAAGGTTCATGAACTCTGGCCGCTCTTGCGTTCACCTGGAGCTTTGTCCCCCTATTGCTGGCTCCATCACTCGCTGGCACGGCACGCCTACTGAGAGCGTTTCTGGGAATTCTGGCTGCAGTCAATACAGCAAACCATTCCCTGCTGCGCAGTTGGTGAGCTTGGGAGGCTGGACCATCTTCACAGCACGTAGGCCGTTGTTCACTTCAAGGCGTTGCCCTTGCATCACAGGTGTATGTGGCATAGCGATTGTCTTTGACGGGTGTTCACCTCTGCTAGTCTTTCCCTCAAATCATGAGGGGGCATACCAAGTCTAAATCGTTTGCTTCCCCCATGCACATTACCTGGGCTGTACATGGAGAGGAGATGTATCGGACACACTTCAGGGATTGCTCGGCACACAAGTGTCAGAATGAACTTGAGGCCACTGCTGCTGCACTGCTCAGCTCCGTAGAATCCGAATACCATGAACCACATGTTGCCAGCCTACATTCAAATTGGCCGGCCAAAGAACAGCGAAACGATGGCGCTAGACCAAACTGGCTATGACAGCAACAGTGTAATGATGAAGGTGCTGCTGAAATATGTTGCTCAGATCCTCCAAATGGAGGCATGCTTCGGCCAGTCACCCGCTTCTACTCATCATCACCTTGGCCGTTGCGGTCTGCGAGCTTGCTTGTCTTGATGCACAACCAAGCTGGCTTATAAGAGCGGTGACTATGGTTCATTAAGGCAGGTCCCATAAAATGGATTCAACAAGTTTCAATATTCAAACCCGCAAACCAACATATTTGCAGTGGATTGGGCAACCCAAGCCGGAAGTGGCGGTTGCTGCAAGCTGCTGGAGGATGCTGGTTTCTCCGGTTTCGCTGAGGCCTAACTTGTTCACATTTCTGCGTGTGAACATTGCCATGATATGCAGCAACAGGGAGGCATCCTTTTCATATCTTTTCATCTGCTCTTTGTTATTACAGACCGCGTCAATGTATCACGTTTCAATGGTGACCTTTGCATTGTCTTGTTTTTGGAAGAACACAACCCACCCGTCTCCGTGCCACAAAAAGGCACAACGGAATTCGCAGAGCATCCTGGACTCGGGAAGGCTATTTATAGACCTAACATGGTGTGCACTTCCGACCGCGCAGCAAAGTGACATGCCACCGAACACCGCTGGCGTTCGCAAAATTGCTCATTGGTAGCTGGCAGTATTGGGGGCCTGCAAGGCCCGACCACCCCACATTCTTCCTTGCCACATGTGCGATTGATGATCTGACCTCTCTTACCTTCATACCCGGGCTGGCCTCGGGCTACAACTCCGCATGTCCGGCGCCTTGGCCTGACCTTCCCATGCTCGTGGACTGAAGGTCCACTTTGACAAGTGATTCCCCCGATGGAAAAATCGGGGGAGCACGCTCGTGTTTTCCCATGAGTACCGACATGCCCTGCGCTGGCCTAGGGGCCCGGGCTGTCGAGGCTCTCTGCCTCTTTGCAGAAGGCGAGGCGCGTGCAGGCGGAAAGCGGCAAGTGGGTCCGCTCCTCTTGGAAAGAGCAAGGGACCCCCGGCTGCTTTCACGGGGGAAATCCGCTTTCAGTGCACAGAACCTTCCAAAAGAGAAGTCGTCTATTCAAACATGCACTTCCATGTGTAGGGGTGGGGTGATTGGGAAAGACTGGGTCGTCCCCAATCCATCTAGTCTTCCAAAGATTCACGGACCAATGGACTACCCGGAAAATCGGCCTTGTTCGAATCTGGGTGTTTATTAGAAGTCTTGCAACTCAGGTTCTTTGGCACCATGACTAAATAGATTCGGTTTTTGCTAATCCTGGATGTTTGTGCAACCT